AAAAAGAGAGGAATAGACTATTTTGGAAATAAAATAGTTGATTAGGAAAAAGTGTGTGTCTCAGCACACATAAAAAGGGACGAATAGTATAGATATTGTATGGTAACACACAGTACATACTAATAGCATTGACATACCGGTGCACTCTCTTGGATGTCAACACCGATGTCATTATAATTCCTGAAATTTCTACACACATATCACTTCTCATTGTGAAGACTAAGTGTTTCACAACAATACTATTCTACTAATACCACAACACTTGATGTATAGAAAAATACTGTATATATTATACGTTACTATTTATATATAATACATGTTATCGCAACGTTTGGTGTCAATGATATGGGAATATAGATATTGAGATATAATATAATATTATATAATACTGTTACTATATGTGAATAATAAAACTTATGCAATCAATCATTAGAATAACAGTATAACACAAAAAAACAAAAATAAAGGCAAACAGTGTTTTCCTATGGGTTTGAGGAGACATAAGAGACACAACGGATGATTAATTACTGAATATACATGTTGTCTGTCCGCGTCCTAAACAACTAAACAAATAGGTTTTTACATAACATTAATGACAGCCCTAACAATAGCGGCTAATATAGCTTATACAGAGAGAGAGAGAGAGAGAGAGAGAGAGAGAGAGAGAGAGAGAGAGAGTTGTCTAATGTGTTGTGTAATACATGTGTACAACAAGTAATTTGAAATATTCATCAACTCTTTTTTGATGTTAAGTACTGTATATTTAACAACAAGTAAACAGTGTGTTATATAATATACAGTATATATATATATTGCTTTTCTGAGCTCAAGATTTTAGTTTTCTTAAGTTTGTGTAATATTTTTTTATCGATATATAATTTTTTGTACATTAATTAATGATGTTATGCACTGTTGTACAATACGATAGTTAATTGAGAGAGAGAGAGAGAGAGAGAGAGAGAGAGAGAGAGAGAGAGAGAGAGAGAGAGAGAGAGAGAGAGAGAGAGAGAGAGAGAGAGAGAGAGAGAGAGAGAGATCAACATAGCTATTGAAGATCTTATATTTTATAATATTAAGAAATAAACATTAAATAATGTATATCAAATCCATACTTTATAAAAAGATATTGTTATATATTATATTATATTATATACTATGTATTATATCTATTGTAAAATAGGCATTAAACTAGAAATAAATTACTTCAAAGTAAAGCACACTCACATACAGTATGTGTTATATTATGTGATTAATAATAGTAGTAAATGTATTTGTCGGTTGAATCCTTGTGGGTATCAAATATAAGACATAAAAATATTTATAAATAAACTTTTATAAAAAACAGGATTTATAGATATTGTGTAGTTTTTTGAAAAATAATATAATATTATTGAATTTATAAAATCTTAACAGTGACTGTAAATATAAGTTAATTATATAAAACAACATTAAAATTAGTAAAAAAAATTATCATCAAATAAGAATATTTATATAATATAGACTATATTTATGTGAATATAAATTTAATTTATTTAACAGATTAGTTTATGAAATTATTTCACATTTGATTGTATTAAACTTGTGTTGAATTTTAATAAACAGTATAATTTTTATTGTATATATAAATTATTTGATACATTGTTTTATTTGTTTTTTTTGAGAAAAAACTTATTTTAATCATAAGGTTTTCTTTCTCTTTTTAAATTCTTTATGCATATAATATATATTTTTCAATTTTTATATTTATTTTTTCTCTCTGTTTGTTACTAATATTTGTTTAGCAGTAAATATAATAGTAAAAAACTGCTGCTGTTTAATATCACACACACACACACACACACACACACACACACACACACACACACACACACACACACACACACACACACACACACACACACACACACACACACACACACACACACACACACACACACACACAACACACATACATACATACACACACACACACAGATACACACATACACTTCAAATATAAAGTTTAGGCACATGGATGTGTTGGAAAGAGAGTTAAGATGAAAATACAGCTCTCAGGAGTGTTATGTTTGGAAAAAATATTGCAAAAATCGAAACGAAAGGAAAAATAAAATAAAATAAAAAAATAAAAAAATAAAAAAATTTAATTCAAAATTTTCAAGTACTATAAGAGTGTATGTACTGTATGTATGTATGTATCTGTGTGTGTGTGTGTGTGTGTGTGTGTGTGTGTGTGTGTGTGTGTGTGTGTGTTGTAAAATATCTTATTATTAGCAATCTTGTATTTATATATATTTATTTTAATATAAGAAAAATATTGAGACATATATTTTCTAATATAATAGTGTTTATAAGTGTATAAAGTATACCTACAGTAAGTGTTTAATGTATATAATAATATATCCCTAATATTAAACTGTCTTTTCTTATATAATAATGTATGTGTCTATCCAACGGTGCTGTGTTGACAAAAATACCAATTTTTATCATAATATACGATATATGCTATTAAATTTTGAGGATTGAGTTTTGTCTTTATTAAGAAAGAAAAGGCAAAATATTTAATAATAAAAACCCTACAAATTGAAGACAACAACAAAAATACAGGCAATCAAACAATCACTAAGACTTTATACCTATTTTGGGGATTGAATTTAGTTTTACTTATTTTTTGTTTTGTTTATACAATACAACATTTTCTCTTTATTTCACTATATTTTTGTAATGTTTTTTCATACGACACAAGAGTTTTCTTTTAATATGATGTCATCTGTAATATAGTGTACAATAAAAACACTTAAAACTTAACACACATTATATAGATATCGACACACAATAAGCGATGTCTTTACACCTGAAATGTTGTGAATGATTACAACAACAAAAGAAAAAAAGTTTAGTAATAATATTTATAATAATAATAATAATAATAATAATAAAAATCATGAAAACAATGAATATAATCACAGTTTTGTTTTTTCTTTATTTATTATAATTTACTTACTGATTAACTCAAGATTTAGCAGAAATTTTTGTTTTATTGTCTTTTTTTGTGTTACTTATAAAATATAAAACAATTTCTTATTTTATTGTCCTCTCTCTCTCTCTCTCTCTCTCTCTCTCTCTCTCTCTTTCGTCAAATTGAAGAATATCAGGAATTTTTGTTATAAATCTATGGTGTGTGACATTTCATAACAGTGTATGTCTGGTTATCTTCATTATAGCTCTTAGTTTGTATGACTATGCCATACCTCACTACTCCCCATACCATTATAACTGCTGCCATTTATCCACGAGCTCTCTCTCTCTCTCTCTCTCTCTCTCTGAAAGTTTTGTCGATCACTGCCAACACACATATCTCGCGGGAAATAATGTCAGAAATGAAAAGAGTTTTTCATATATATATATATATATATCTTTTTTTTGTGTATATATTATTGGTTTATATTTTTTGTGAAATAAAAAAATATATAAATCTTGACTACGATTTAGTATTGCAAAAGTGTTGTCTCCACTCTATAATTGCTTACTTTTATCTAATGTTTAGTTGACGTCTGAATTTACACTGTCTTTCTATTCATATATTATTGTTTTTATACATAATAATAATAATAATAATTTTTATATCTAATATTAATCTCGTTAACGGTTAGTTTGATTTCAAGCACTACTACTCTTTACATATATACTTATAGTAATATATTTAGTATTTACTACAAAATTATTAATGCTATTCGTGTAATAACATGAGTGTACAGTTAGTAGCAGTTTATACAGTAGTGTTTGAAACTCATTGAACTCAATAATTGAATGTTTAATGATTTTGATGTCTCTCTTATACCACTACTTCTTGTAATTGCTTTTCTCTCCTTTTTCTATCTCTTTATATTTAATTCACTATAATTTTAACTGTTATTTATAATTACACCAAAAATCTGTTAGATTAAAAGCTCCGGGCGACACATACAAACAGGGATGACAACACTGTTTAATAAATAAAAATATAAGAATCTTTCATAAGTAAATTTCTATGGAAGTCCCCATAGGCTAATTGAAAAATATTATAAATTATACAATATTAACATCACAATTATTATAACAAAACAATTATTTAATTTTATTAAATGTTAATAATTCATATAAAAAAGTATTTATAGTTCATACTTAACCAATTTTTAATTAATTTAAGATAACAATATAATACAATAAATATATTGCTTCAAAAATATTTTTACATAAATTTCTAGAAAATTTCTTGTGGAAAAATCTATTTATCCAACATTCTATATATTTACTAGTATTTGTATACTCACGACAAATAAATCAAATGTTATTTCGACATTTATTTTCATTACACATATATACTGTTTATACTATACATAAAACTTGTTAATAGTTTTTAACTTACAGTATGTATTTTATATTACAAAAATAATAATTATATTATATATATATATATATATATATACATTTACTATGTTTATAAATAATTTGTGAGTGTACTCAAATATTTTTATATTAAAATACTTTATATAAAATGTATTCAATGATGCAAATAACAGATACAAAGTTTTTTATTAAATTATTAAATCATATTAATATATGTATAAACATGATTGACGGTTCACTATCCTATAATGTGAATATTATGATACTGAATGATAGATTAATGGAAAATAGTATTGCATAGACTACTGTATAATTTTTTAAAAATCATTTAATTAAGCTTATTTTGCTTTTTCATTTATTTAAAATCTAAAATTTACTATTTTTTTTATATATATATATACAAACAAACTTTACAGAATAATAAGTTTATAATAAAATAAATAGTATTTTTATAATAAATAAATTTATTAATTTTTTGACTATAATTAACATTTAAAATACTACAACAAAAAATTTTAAATATTAGTTATCTAATAACATCTAAAAACATAACACAATTTTGGTTAATTAATTTAATGTATTATTTTATTTATTTATCTAACAAATTGATTTAGGTTTTGGTCGATATGTAATTTTGAATAGCGGCGAACTACTTGTGCGAAATGCCTCTAAAGCCGATATGGGTTCATACCGGTGCCAAACCAGACATGAATTGACTAATGAAATGTTCACCAGTTCTGTTGGCGGGAGGCTTATTGTCACCGGTAGTGTCCAATCATTTTATGTCATTAATAATATTATTATTAATTTGATAAAAATATCTGTTTCTATATTTGAACATCAATTTGCAGAACCACACGGAACTATAGCTCCGAGGATATGGAGTCATAGCCAAGTCAAGTGCCAAGAAGGAGACTCCTGTCAATTGCCATGTATTGCTCAATCTTGGCCACCACCTAAATATAGGTATGTTTGACATCAATTAATTATTATTGCTATTAGTTATAACAATTAATATTAGAATATAATAAATTTTTAGTAAAATTTTATTTTCTTTCTTTCAATTTTTACTTTCAATTTTTTTTATAGAAAATTTATAGATTTATTTTAGAAAATTGTCGTTAATTTATAAATAATAATTTTAATTTAGTAAAAATTTATTTTTTATAATACATTAAATATTTATGTTATTGAAACTATTAATTTTTAAAGTATTAATTAAAGTATTAAAGTATGAATGTATTAATTATTGGTAAAATTTAATTATTGTAATATGTATTAAAATAATAGTAAAAATAATTTGTAAATTTGTCTAACAGGTGGTATAAAGAAGAAGACACTGCCTTATCTCCAGTAGTTATGAATACAAATATTCAACAATTTGATGGCACACTCCTACTGAGTCAGGTGTGGCCACAAGACTCCGGTAAATGGGTTTGTGTGGCCAACAATACACTGGGAGAGGAGCGTATTGTTGTCAAATTAGTCATTATTTCGGCCATCGGTGTACATATCGAACCACAGAGACTGGTGGCCGACGTGGGAAAGTCAGCCACATTTAACTGTTCCGTAAGGGGCGGACCAATCAATCTACCGGTGATTTGGCTTAAAGACGGTCACCCATTACTTAGCGATCCATTCAGTGGTATTGCAATTAATATAGACGATAGGATACGACTAATCGACTCAAATGTCTTGTATATTCGCTCAGTTATCAGACAAGACTCTGGTATGTATTGTCCACACAACTATCCCAACCATTTAATCTAATTATTGCTTTTAATGACCTCATATTTATTGTCATTGATTATCAACAATTTGGTGTATCATTAATCAATTGTCTTATCGATATTATATACAGTACTACTATATATATAAATTTATAAATATATATACTGTATATTGAATATAATAAAATTAATTATCAATCATTAATAAAGAAAGAATGATATCAGAAAATATTATTTATTATGTTATCAATAAATTTTATTATATATCACATACGGTATACCAACCATTAAATTAACACATTTTAATAGCTTAATATAATAGTAGTGGAAAAATATATAAAAAAATTTATTATCAAATTTATTTTTTTTATTACTTTAAGAAAAATTAAATTTAATAATATAAAAATATTGAATAAAAAATGCAAAAAACTTTATGCAAAAAATGAGAGAAAATTCATAAATCATTAAAATTTATGAATAGTTTGATTATATGTTGTGTTGGAGATTATGCTCCAATACTTTTGACTACTAAGCGATGATATGATAACCAATACTTTTTCTTTCAATACATATATGATATCTTATATGATATTCAAGTGTTTTATTATTATTGACAGACTATTCAAATGTTAGACACTAAATATGCTGAAAGACAGGGGCTTTGAAGTCATAAAACGGCATCTTTTTATCTTTTGAAATATACGACAAAAATAAATTTAGTTATAGTTATTGAATATTTTATTTTACAATAAAAAATATTTTTTCTTATATTTCTATAATTTATAACAAACTATATGTGTTACTAATGCATACAATCCTATAGGCATTTTGTGGTTATTTTTTTTACTTTTCATTTGTGATCATATATTATACATTTGTCAGAGTTTTATATTAAATTTAAATATTAAATTTGATAAATGTTTTATGGTGTCTAGAATTTTTCATATAATAAAATATCATATATATTTTAATTAAATAAAATATCTTTCATATAATTTAAATAATAATATTAATATAATTTTTAGGTTCTTATCAATGTTTAGCTGAGTCTGAGTACGACTCGGCTCAGGGCACGGCTGAGATCAAGTTGGGTGACATCGCACCGGTCATTATGGAGCACTTCTCGGATCAGATCATTGAGTCGAGTACTTCACTGTCGCTCCGATGCACAGCATCGGCCACACCATTGCCACAGATTAAGTGGTTTCTTGACGACCTGCCGGTGCCAAACTTTGCACGTTTCCGGGCTGGAGATTACGTGACAACCGACGCTAAAGTTGTCAGTTATGTTAATATCACATCCACTCGTGTTGTCGATGGAGGAGAAGTAAGTATCATATAATAATAATAGCAATAATGACTGTTTTATTATATTATAAAAATAAGTTTGTCTTTATATGTGTATGTGTTTATGTTGTTGTCGTTTCACACTATACTACCGGTGCCAATCATAAATTTATTTTGTCACTTTATATTATATATGTATATACTGTATATTGAACTTCTTTACTAAATTATTTACCAATCTATGAGTTTTGCATAATATATTGTACTACAAAACAAAATGTTTGAATCACAGTATAAATGTGGTTTAGTTATCAAATAATAATAATAAAAAAGTTAGCATAAAATGAGATATTGGTTTAGATATGAGAAAAGTTTTTATCTGTGATAACCTTTATATTCTTTATTAAATTATTATATTTTTGGCGATAAATATTTTAAAATTCTATTGTAAGTTATAGTATGCTATTTATTAAGTTTTTTTGATAAACGAAAAAAACCCATTTATGATAATATATTTTACAGTAAATAAAAAACCTGGTTTCTTTTATATGCATATTTTTGTGGGGGAGTAAAGCACTCTGTGATTATTATGATGATGCTTATATTATTATTATTTTCAATAATGTATGTCAGATATATTAGGAAAAGTATTGATTTTTAGATCTATCTGTAAATATATAAAATATATGTATGAACAACAAAAAATGCAATATTTTTAATAGACAGTATAAAAATAGACACAACAATAGTAATAGTTTTCAGTAATTTTTCAAAACCAATGCAACATATAAATAAAAAATCGTTAATTTTTTTTGAACAATTCAGTGATTTATTATTCAACGAGAAATATATATATTTCTATATATATATATATTTCTATATATATATATATTTCTATATATATATATATATTTCTTATTCAGAGTATTTCTCTTTTTTATTATATTCATGAATACAATATTATTACAACACAACAGAGATTTATATATAATTTTCCGCAATTCTTTAGTCACAATATAAAAATTATAAATAAATTTTTAGTATAATAAATGCTATCTTTTTTTGCTCTCTTTTCCGGAATTTTTATATATTATTATTTTTGTTGGGCTTATAATTGTTTAGGCAGTAGAGATAGATAGATAGATATATAGATAGATAAAGAGAGAGAGAGAGAGAGAGAGAGAGAGAGTAAGTTAAGTAATATAATAGTGTAGGTATTGTGAGAGACATATTTAGAGAAAAAACTGAAATATAAATACTGCGAAACATAAGACAAAAAATAATTTATCAAAACGACTATCCATTTCTAGCCGTTTATGTGCTTCTGTAGTACAGAATCTGAACCACTATTACGATCTGTGAGTGCATGTTATGTGGGGAACTAACTGTATGGCTATAAGGATAATGTCCAGTCATATCATATAGTTTATGACATTCAAAGTATATATTCCGTGAAAATGACTTTTTGTGTCCAATGATTCATAAAATGTTTTTTATATAATAAATATAATGTTTTGTTTTTGCCATTTACAGTACAAATGTGTGGCCAGTAATGATGTGGGACAGTCCAGTCATACGGCCAGAATCAGTGTGATTGGACAGCCATCGCTACGATCTATGTGGACGAGTAACAACTTAACTGTAGTATCCGGACACTCCATAGTGCTGTCGTGTCCGGTCATTGCCTATCCTATTGAGTCCATTATGTGGGAACATAAGTCTAATCAGTTACCAGTTAATCATCGACACAAAGTTGAACCAATTATTAATGGTATCGGAGGTAAACTACATATCAGTGCTGTCCATAAAGCTCTGGACGCTGGAGAATATATCTGCACTGTCAAAGGCAGTAACAGTAAAGCCGTTAAGGGAAGTATTATACTTACCGTACGTCTAGCGCCACAAATTGACGGCCACTCACTTCCCGAAGAGATTGTCACCAAACAAGGCATGAGAGTTAAGCTCATGTGCTCTATCATTGAAGGCGATCCTCCCATCGATATTCGCTGGTTTAAAGGACACTTACCAGTGATGGCCACCGAAACTATTTCCCTACAAAACTCAGAGGACTATTCGCTATTGACATTCAAGAGTGTATCACATAATGATATGGGAAACTGGTATGTTATATGTCATTGTCTTATATTCAATATTAGAAATTTATATTTATTTTAACAAAAAAACTAGTCATTTGTCAAATGTCTAATCAATTGACTTTTTAAAAGACTAAATTAAATGCCGTTTAAGAAACTTAAAGAAACTTTTTTATTCATTTGATATACATTTAACACAATTTGTTTTACAATAACTTTATTTTAATGCTATTTCGCCCCAAAAAGCCATTACTCTTATCGATTGCCAGAATATATGATATTTTCAATGAATAACAAAAAGAGACTGTCGTTAACAATATATAATATAAAAAGATTATTATACAGTATATACTGTTAAATATAAATACATTTCTACACCAGAAAATGTAATTATAAGTCAAAATTATTATATAAACGAATTGTGAGTCTATTTTCAAACGAAATATAGTTTAGTATTTTTTACAAATATTTCATGGCTTGTATTCACACAATATTTTTATTTGTCATTTGCAGTCCTAACATGTCTTGTTATACATTTTATTGTTGTCTATAATTTAGTTACACCGATACACACATAAAATCTCTCTCTCTCTCTCTCTCTCTCTCTCTCTCTCTCTCTCTCTCTCTCTCTCTCTCTCTCCTTCTCCTTTCTTTTACATGTCTTTATTAAATGACACCTTTTTTCTAAAAAATATACTAAAAAAAGTTAATTATAAGTCAAGTTTTTAAACTTTTTTAAATCAATTTTCTCGTCACTGTTAAGTATGTATCTATTTAATATTGTATTATTGAAGATAAGCTATTGAATTTTTAAAATGTCATATAATTAGTGTTATATTAATATTGATTTTTAAAGTTTCATACTTTTTTGATAAAAATTGTCTAACATTTTTTATTTAACTTAAAAAATGACTCTAGAAAAAATTATATTAATTTATAATTAATAAATTATATTTTTATATTAATTTATAATTAATAAATGATATTTTTATATTTTATTTTTGTTTATTTAAGACATAATTGAATTATAGTTTATTTGTTGAACTATTTTATTTTTATTTTTTTTGAATAAATTTATTAAATATTATTTTTTATTAAATTAAATTTACATAAATATATTTAACAATTTGCAGGACATGTAAGGCCTGGAATGATGTTCAGAGTACTAATCGCACCGTTAGTTTAGTGGTGAATGTTTCGCCCAACTGGAAGGTCGAGCCGAAGAATATAAACGTAGTTTTAGCCAAAAGTGTGTCCATTGACTGTTCTGCCGGTGGATCTCCCGGTCCACGAATATCATGGAAAAAGTCGATTGTCTCGAGTGTCGCACAAGAGTTGGGTTCAAATGACAAGAATGTTATCACAGCCTCATTGCCAGCAATGCCTTCACTGCCATCTGATTTCAGAGACATACTATCCAGTTATCGACATCAGGTCTACGCTAACGGAACTCTATTTATACAAGAAGTGGACAAATCTGATGCCGGCTTTTATATGTGTAAAGTTAGTATCAAATTATTTGTTTAGTACTTAACGGTATTTTAAATAATATATATACTATATATATATAATAAAAACTTTTTTTCTGATGCATCAAACATTTAGATAAGCAATGGTATCGGTGCTGACTTGAGTAAAGTAATCCAACTGTATGTCCAAATGCCGCCACACTTTGAGGCCAAGTTTGTCAGCGAAATGGCCACCAAAGGTACTACAGCTGTACTCAAATGTAGAGCAAAAGGAGATCCAGTGATGAAAGCCATTTGGCAGAAGGATAAACAAGTTGTTGACTCAACAGTTGATAAAAGATTTACAATTAAAGAGGAGATTATTTCACCGCATAGTTTGATCTCATATATGGAGATTGAAAATGTCGGACGATATGATTCGGCTCTATTCACGTGTATTGTGATCAACAATTTCGGTACCGACGACACAAATATACAGCTTATAGTTCAAGGTTTGTATTTTAATTATTTGTTGTATTTATGTATCTCTTGAGCTAAGTCTTAATTATTATTATTATGAGAACAGAAGTGCCCGAACCTCCACATGAAGTACAAGTGATGGATATTACGAGCCGATCGGCGGCGGTCACGTGGAAGGCCTCCTTTTCCGGCAACAATGCTATTAACAAATACATCGTTCAATACAAAAAACTATGCGTTTTAGATACCGATTGGGAAGAGATAACCACAAACACTGGTAACGACTTCCGAGCTGTTGTCCGTCCGTTGCATCCGATGTGCAAATACGAGCTTAAAGTAAGAGCTGAGAATTCTTTGGGAAGAAGTGATCCCTCAGTGATGACTACCTTCACGACCAACGAGGAAGTACCGGGAGGGCCGCCTCAGGACGTTATGGCTGAGGCCACGTCATCAACATCGTTGAAGATTAAATGGAAACCACCGGCAAAACATCTGCAATACGGAACTATTAAAGGTTATTATATTGGCTATAAAGTGGCCAATGATAACAGTGACCAGTTTGCATACAAGAGCGTTGAGGCCACGCCTAACAATGATGGCAATCGGTTTGAGATGAGCTATATCTCAAATTTGAAGAGAAAGACTTACTATACGATCATAATTCAGGCCTACAATAGTGTCGGTGCCGGTCCACGAACTGATGAGGTTTGTCTTACTATTCAACCATTTTTTATTAATTAAATTAATCCAATTTATATTTTTATGTTGTATTAGATAAAAGTATTGACACTAGAGTCACAACCTCCCCGATCGCCGCTTCTGGAAGTGGTCACTACTACTGTTGACTCAATTACTATACGATGGGATATCAATGAGTTGGACAGTGAAGAGAAAGAGTTTGTTTTATATTATAGAGAAGAAAAGACAGTCCAATGGATACAAAAGCTATTGAAGACTAAACGAAATATTTTTGTTTTGGATTCAAGTGACGGCAAAACGGCACTCAAATGCGGCACAAAATATATGCTATACATGACAGCCACCAATAGTCTGGGAACGGGTGAACCCAGTAAATGATATAATTGACTTGATTTTATTAATATATTAATAATATTATATTTTTATTTTTAGGCGAAACTATCACTACTTCTACCAAAGGCTCGGCACCTGTGTCTCCATCGAAGGAAGAGTTTATTTACACCAATTCCACATCAGTGGCGCTTAGATTAAATAGTTGGCTATCCGGCGGATGTCTCATCAATTATTTTACTATTAAATACAAATTATCACAACAAAAACAATGGATTATTATAAAAGAAAAGTTGTCCAATAGATACGAACCTTTTTATATATATCAATTAATTCCGGGTCACGACTATGATCTCTATGTCGGCGCGCATACCGATGCTGGTAAGCATTTTTGCTTACTGTTAATACTATTGAAAATATTTAATCATTTTGTTTTTTTCTGTATAAAAGGCATAACAGAAGCAGAATATCAGTTTAGGACTTCCAACACATCAGTTGTAATAAAAATAGGTTCAATGAATCCGCCGACAAGTGTTGTTTCTCAGTCGACCACTGCCTCACTGTCTATCTTCCAAAACTTTACAGTTATGCTACCAATAGTCATATCGGTGATTGTCCTCATAGCTGTTCTCACTACTCTATTAGCGTTCATGAAGAGACAACGATCAATAGATCAGACCATCAATAATATGGACGCCAGAAGTTCCATACCTAAGAGCGAACTGTCCTCCGATATGTTTCCATTGAGTGACTTCGTTAGGAGTAATTCAAAACCCAAACTATTTGAGAGTCACACGACTCACCCGAGCGACATATACGGCAAAACGACTGCCGCGGCCGCCACTTATTACGCGACTCCCAATCGGCGCAGTTCATCGGGTCTGGCCGTTGCCAATCATCAGCTTATGGCCAGACATATGCATAACAGTGATCACGAATACGCCGAACCATTGGCTCAATACTCTCAGCCGCGATGTCTATTCAGCGATGATAACGAGTGCTCCAATTTATCAAATACCTGTGCCTTAATGGTACCAAACACTCGGCTATAGAGACAAACAATAATTACTTTAATTAAAAGAAAAAAATAATTAATTAATCATTCAATCAATTTGAGAATTGATTGCTCATTACTGTCGATACAATTTTCATGTGACACAAATTTTTAACAATTGTTAATTTATGTTAAGAAAATTAATTATATATATATATATATGTATTTTATACAGTACAATTAAATTATAAATCTATTTATAAATTTGATCATTACATTTCAATACATTTTTATATAAAAATTGTTTTTAGGATATCTTTTTCAGAGCCAAATTCAATAAAAAGTATAGAAATAAATATTAGTATAATATCTATAATAATATTGATTTTTCTTAATATTTAATTGACTTATATTTAATTATAATATAGTTATATCATTTTTAAGTATTCTTACCTGAAACTTTATTTATATAATTTTTATTAAATTACTTAAATGTAAATTTGTAATATAGTTAACATAAATTTACAAATTACTTCAATTACTGTGATATTTGACATAAGAATTTAAATTTTAAATTAAGTCATACAATTAAAAACTGTGATAATTATAATTATTATTATTGTCAATAAATAAGTAAAATACCAATTTGTTTCCAATTTGTTAATTGATTTCAAAAAACTAAATTAAATAATATATTCGTTAATAATTTAATTAATATTGTTATTAAAATTTTAATTAATAATTTACGAATTTGATATATAAATAAATAAATTACAATTTTATTGAATTATTTTATAGTTATTTTTTTATAATTATAATCTTATACAATATGAAAGATTAAAAATAATTCAGCATTAGTGCTAATAAGTATTATATAATAATAAATAGTAATTTGATGATAATAAATATTATATAATATTAATATAGTAATATTATATAACATTACTATTATGTAAGATTTTTTATGAATGAAACAAATGTAAAAATGTAAATTCCCGATATTAAGTAATCACTAAATCTTTACTTTCATCCCATATATATATATAAATCCCACAAAAATAATTTGTTACTTAAGATAAAATAGAAATTTATATATATATTTACATTAAATATAGTATCAATATTTTTGAATATATATTTTTTAATTAATTCATTAATAATTTTGTTAAATAATTAATTAAACATTAATTTATTTTAGACTATTTACAATAGACTCAATAACATTCATAACAATTGACTAATGATATGTTACAAAACACTCAAATATAAATATAAATAAATATTTATTTAATTAATATATCAATTAATTTGATATAATCACTGCATTACATCAGCACTGGTAGTATTTTCTGATGTTTTGGCAATTTGAATGGCCTCCTCATAAGTCGGTAGATCCTTGTCTATTGTTACCAAACAGTTATTATTATTTCTACAGATTTCATGATATGATGGCAATTGACTCTCGATGTCGTCATTTGATTCTTCTGTTTCCTTCATAACCGATGTCTGCAACGATTCTCCGATGGCCTGCAATGTCATCAGCTCTTGTAATAGTTCACCGTTACGTATGAACTCATGTTCCCTTCGTTTCAATATAAATATGAATAAAATACAAAACACAAACATAACGGTGAAGAGAAACAGTATGTTTTCAGCCCTGATCTCAACAATCCGTTGCTCGCATTTGCCGCGCGTTTTGTCCCAAATGTAACCAAATTCACAGCGAAGGCCGTCATCTGAGCTCATGTTTGTCGACATCATATATGTTTCAAATGAGTCGACAAAATCGGCAAAATTTCTTGTATTAAAATTGACATTTGAATCCAACGATGTCTTGTTAGTTGACACCAACAGTCCAACAGGTATTTTAGTGATATTGACTGAACCATAAACTATACCTTTATTAGTACATCTATTCATGTGATTAATATATTGATAGTCATTGCGACACAAACAGCGAGAATACTGACAAACAGTATGGTTGTCATAATGACGGCACTCCTCATCCATTGTACAAAATTCATTAAATCGTTTGCCTCTTAGGCACTGACCGTTGACCAGTACGTGGTCGACATCACAGTCACATAAGATATACATACATAGGACAGTCAATATAAACATTTGTATATAAAATAACATTATTTTAATTTATATTTCTAAAAACAAATTAATCTTTAAAAAAATTATAACGAGATTCTCTATGAGATTTCTAATGGCATTAGATATAGTCAACAGTGTTTCGGAGTTTATACAGCACTGGCATACAGAAGCTATGAGTCTACGAGTCGATGCAATATTAAAGTGAACAGTAGTAGTCAAGCATTTCTCAATCATCAATCGATAAAGTAATTCATAATACAGTAGTTTATGTATATTTGCTACCTTTACCTTTTAGGTGCATGTGTGTGTGTGTGTGTATGTATGTATGTGTGTATGTATGTATGTATGTATGTATGTATGTATGTATGTATGTATGTATGTATGTATGTATGTATGTATGTATGTATGTATGTATGTATGTATGTATGTATGTATGTATGTATGTATGTATGTATGTATGTATGTATGTATGTATGTATGTATGTATGTATGTATGTATGTATGTATGTATGTATGTATGTATGTATGTATGTATGTATGTATGTATGTATGTATGTATGTATGTATGTATGTATGTATGTATGTATGTATGTATGTATGTATGTATGTATGTATGTATGTATGTATGTATGTATGTATGTATGTATGTATGTATGTATGTATGTATGTATGTATGTATGTATGTATGTATGTATGTATGTATGTATGTATGTATGTATGTATGTATGTATGTATGTATGTATGTATGTATGTATGTATGTATGTATGTATGTATGTATGTATGTATGTATGTATGTATGTATGTATGTATGTATGTATGTGTATGTATGTATGTATGTATGTATGTATGTATGTATGTATGTATGTATGTATGTGTGTGTGTGTATGTATGTCAATGTAATATGTATGTATGTATGTATGTATGTATTATTATAATAATGTATGTATGTATGTATGTAAATTAGTGTACAATGTATGTATGTATGTAAATATTTTAACTATGTATGTATTATATGTATGTATGTATGTATGTATGTAATGAACTTAATTTATAATAAGAAATTTTAGTAGATAGCGGTCAACTATTTTTATATTTTATGTATGTATGTATGTATGTATGTATGTATGTATGTATTATTCTATACAATTTATTTATATGTATGTATGTATGTATGTATGTATGTATGTATGTATGTATGTATGTATGTATGTATGTGTGTGTGTCTATGCTTGTCAAAATAATATGAATTTATTCTTATAATAAACAACTACTTAAATTAGTCACAAGGTTAAAATATTTTAACTATTAATTATAATGAACTTAATTTATAATAAGAAATTTTAGTAGATAGCGGTCAACTATTTTTATATTTTATTATTCTATACAATTTATTTATGATATAAAATTTTTGTTATAAAATATTTATTATTCAAGTTATTTTGTTATAAATAGTTTTCAATTTACTAATTGTATATAATATGTAATAATACAATATAAATATATATAGTGTATATTTATATTCTCAAACAATTTATTTGACATATCTGTATTATAGAAAAATAAAGATAACTTTTTATTGTATGTTTTTATTAAACTGTAATTTTATAATAAAGCTTATTTACTAAAATTATGCAAATATAATGATGATACAAAAATGATATGTTTGTTAAAGTTAATGATTGCTTATTGTTAATTTTGTTTATAATGTAATGCGATATTATATATTTATAGACAATTTGTGTAAAAAATATCGCATGAGAAAAAACTAACAAAATTAGAAATTACTTTTAAAATATTTATATTATATTTTAAAGTTGAAAACAAGTTGATTCAAATGAAGTTTATAAAAGTCATCTAAAAGTTTATTAGAAACATGAGAATAAAATTTAACTTATTATAAATTTGACAAAATAACTTTTTAGTAAATTATAATTATTATAAGCTATAATTTTATTGTTACTTATATACTATAAAAACATAATTATAATTTTTAGATGAATATAAAACTTTATTATTTTATTAGTCTAATCAATAAATTAATAAAATTGATATTATATGACATTTGATACTAACTGAACGCAATCTTCAAATGATATATTGTTTTTACAATAATATCAAACATTATATCATTAAATATAATAATTGATTATTAATTATTTGCATTCATTGTTTCGTAAGAATGAATATGTTTTCAAAATAAATATAAATTCTAATAATAATATTCAAATTAAACATATATTTTCAAAAACAAAAAATAAAATATTACAAAAACAATATTTACGACAAATTTTCGTGACATTTAAAACTTATAATAAATATTATAAATAAACCTAAAAATAATGAACAATTCTAAGCAATAGACTTATTTTTATTTAAGTTACGGTATATTTAATAAGATTTTTTTAAAAAAATATTTAAATGAAAGTTTTAGAAAAATTTCTTTTATTATACCTTTATAATGGACTATAAAAATTATTATAAATAAACATATTATAGCAAAATTTTAAAAATTTCCGTTAAAAAAATAATAATTTATAAACACTACATACCCATAAACAAATTAAAGACTATTAATGTACTTTAATGATATAATTTAATTAAAATGTTTATAAAAATTTAATATTAAATTAACTTATTTACAATTGAGAAAATTATTATTAGTTTATTTATAAAAATTTTTAATTATGCTATAAAATTACAAATAAATAAATAATGAAAATATAAATGAAAAACATATTTCTTTGTTATTAATTAATTAAATAAAAACAATAATAAATATGTATTTATAGATTGAGTCAGTCTAAACATTTTGAGCACCCGATGCTATCGCCTCATCATAAGTGGGAAGTTTAGTGTTAGTAGTGATGACACACTCTTGATATGAGGGAAGTGTCGGATCACACGACGGAATGGACAGGAAGTATACATTGGGAACAACAGTATTGTCGACATCTGCT